ATGAATGTCCATTGCCTTTATGTTTGGTTAGATGTTGTGTCGCAACGAAATCGAGCAAAGTTTCCTTACATGAACGATAAAGACCGGGTTCTGTGATCGATGCATGAACAAATCGAGAGGTTCGGGCTGTCTCGTGAGCTCGGAAGATAGAGATTGATAGCAACCGTCCGATGTATGGACAACCACCATGGTGTTATTCATTTACATGGATCCGGAAAGGGTCCCATACTATTGATCCAACAACTCCCTTCCTTCCTATGTTATATAATTATGTTTCACTGGATTGTTATAATTATTGAGTCAATTTAACGAGCAACACAAATTTTGTTTAAAATTTTTTAGTCAAGTTTATAAAATTTGAATTGACTAGTTGTTCAAGTTTTTGTTTAAATTTATTCGTATTATTTGATTCCAATTTTAATTGTTTTCTATAATTATATATATATTTATAATGTTTTATATGAGGTATACAAATATAATGTAGACTTGAGGGCTCAACTCAAGCTCAAAAATCAATCCATTAATTACTAAAAATATTGAGTTATTCAAGTTCTATTTTATAACTTCACTAAAATTTTACACTCTTAGTCCAATCCATTAAGTTTGTAATGTGTCTTGAGCATAGGTAGATCCACCCTTGCCCACCCTAAAATTCGAATTTTCTCCTGTTAGCTATGTGCTTTATTAATTGTGTCCACCCTGAATTTTTGTCTAAATAAAAAATTTATGTTTTTAATATATGTGTGCTCCCTCTCAAAATTATTTCAAAATCCGTTACTACCGGTATCGAGATTACTTTCAATTTTAGTCCAATTGATTTTATGTGGACTAGCCTAATTAGGTTTCAAAACTGATATTATTGTTATTTATAGGTTCTAAAGAAGTAGAGTGAGCTTTTACTTTAGTTTAGAAAAGGGATGTTTATCCACTAAAAATCCCATAATTTCCTAACTATTTGTCTTGCTTATGGGAGGCAAAGGTACACTACTTTGGTAACCTCCCCCCCACATTCATTTGTATCTGCATCAATAAATCACTTGAAAAATTTAGGGCAAAATTAATGGAAACCTGAAACTATATGTCCTTCAAATATATATTTTAAAATCTTAGTGAAAATATGTTGATTGAAGAAGAGGCACATATAGGATATCTTTTACTAATTGAGTGGATTTATATAATTGAATAGTGTTTAACTTATAAACAATTATTATGTACTAATATGATTGAACTGAATGCTGGTATAATTGCTAAGTTGGTCCCTAAACAAAGATGGGATCCTTTCATATAAAAGTTGCAAATTTAGTTGGTTTCTCATTCGGCCCAAACCAATCCGTTTTCGAGTCCACAGACTTCTAAAGTACGAATCAGTTTTATGTTTTTTTTCTTACCCCTGAAGTATGGCCCAACTTTCTGCCTTACTCATAAGCTCCAAAAGGGGCCTAATATGCAACTTTGATCCATTTGTTTTTATAATATGATAATTATTTTTTCCTTCTAAATTATATCTAATTACCACTTTAGTATTTTGAAAAATTAACATCTTAAATTATCCCTAAGCCATTATAATCATAAATCACTAAATAAGTTTATTTTTTTATTTCAGTTTTAATGAAACTGAAATAAAGTGATAATTGAGTATAACTTTGAGGGCTAAAATAATATTTAACCCTTTTTAATACTTATGTGAAAAGTGTGTCCAAATAGAAGCAGCTATGATGAAGCCAGTTCGGGCTAATTGTTTTATTTTTGTGTATTGCCTCGCTCTCGTTGCACTTTACAGTATCAAATGAGGTAATTCTATCGGTACTCAAACTACACTTCTTTCTAAAGCCGTATTTCCATACCTTTTCCTCCGAACTATACGACCCTAAATTGAATAAAAAAGAAACTTATGGGTGAAGAATTGAACTTTTAGAGTCTAAGCAACTTTATCATGCATTAAACAACTTTAATGCCTATAAAAAAGATATGGAAATATGGCCAATTTGTTACAAATATACTTTCTTTCGGGTCTGTGAAAGTAATAGATTTACATAGACTAGAACGTTGAGGGGCGAAAATAATTATTAATAAAAAAAATATGATAATTTGAAATTTCAAGGGATGTGCTCCTCCTTGATCAATCCCGAGTAGAATTATGTATGGTCAACTCTCATGCTTAGCCTTGAAGGCAGACTCATGCACGCTTAGCTTGTGTTTGAAGTTCTGTTTAGTCTACAGAACAGCTAATGAGTTGCTTGGATCGTGATGCTGATGATCCTTTGCTAATGACATGCATGCATGCTATGTGAAGATGAATGGCCAGATTTGACATTTTGGTTCTCTTCACTCGATCATCAAGAAACTGAACATTGAGGATTGATGCAAGACCAGGGCTTAATATTATATCATGTTCATATATATGTCTGCATAAATCAACCGGCTTTACTTGCATTTCATCTCTTGAATTTGCAGTTTTGTGAACAATTTGCTTTGTAGATGAACAAGATCAAATTTGTTACATAAAAGACAAAACCCCATATATATTTGTTTCATAATGCAATGATTCGGAGGGTAATTATAGGGTATGATCTATGTTGTTACACAATATGGTGAGATCGATTTCGAATAGATTGAATTTATTAATTTTTCGAATTTCCCCTTCCTTAAAAATATCTCTTCTTTTTCTCTAAGTAAAATTAAATTTAAAATTAAAATTTATAAAAAAAATATTATTCCGAATATTCTAGTACAATTTAAAGATGCCTACTGATTAACAAAAGCAAAATTTCAAACCTATATCAAAAAAAAATAATTATTCCGAATATTCTAGTACATTTAAAGATGCCTACTGATTAAACAAAAGCAAAAATTTCAAACCTATATCAATAGGGTTATACACCTACGTTATTAGGTGTGGTAGACCCTATATCTCCCCAGCTCTTTATCCTATGTATGAATGTCCTTCTAGTATTCTTAACAAGGCTGCTCTTAGAGGTCATTTTGGCTTTCATCCAAATGTAAAAAAATTGGATTAACTCATCTTACATTTGCAGACGAGTGTTGGACTTTTGTCGTGGGAATGTTGAATCAATTGTGGGGTTATTAGTGCTCTCGATCACTTTTATGAATCTCTGGCCTTAAGCTTAATGCACAAAAAAAGTGAATTCTTTACTACTAGAATTTCCCTCGAAATATTGAAGAAATCATGTAGATTACAGGTTTTACACATGGATGCTTACATGTTAGATATTTGGGTGTTCCTTTGGTCTCTAAAAAACTTTCGGATAAAGACTGTGTGGCACTTATTGATAACATTAGAGATTGTCTGCACAATTGATCTAGAAGACACTTGAGCTATGCTGGTAGACTTGAACTTATTAAAACGATTCTACAGAGTATTACTAATTTTTGGTGTAGGCAATTAATCCTTCCACAATCTGTGCTGCATCGAATTGAGCAGTTATGCTCAAGGTTTTTTTGGAAAGGTTCTGACAAAACTGCAACTGGTGCAAGAGTAAATTGGGATAAGTTTTGCCTTACTAAATCAGAAGGGGGTCTTGGTATTAAAGACATTACGTCTTGGAATAAAGCATGTTTTATGCATCTGATTAGGAACATCCTTGCGGGTGAAGGATCGCTATGGATTGCATGGATTAAAAGCTGTTATCAAAATAATGATTTCTGGACCATGGAGGCTGGGATCAATTCTAGCTGGAGCTTTCGTAAACTGTTACGCATGAGGCCTCAAGCTGCCTCTATTCTTGCTTCTGTGCACAATCAATCAAGGATCTTTGGAACCTAATTCGCAACAAAGAGAACAAGGCCACTTGGCATAAGTTGATCTGGTTTCCTCTTCACATTCCAAAGTATAGTATTATTACTTGGATGACATTCCTCGATAGATTACCAACTAAAGACAGGTTGATTCGAATGGGTTTCAATATTGATGGTACATGTGTGTTTTGTCATGACTTGATGGAAACTAGAGATCACTTGTTTCTACACTGTACTATGATCAGTTCGTTATGGAACACTGTTTTGAATTTCAATGACATTTGCAGAGGATAATGTTCATGGGGTACTCACATTTCGTGGGCTACAGCTTCCTGGAAAGGTAAATCTTTACTAACCACTATTATGAAGTTAGCTTGGACCACTTTTACATACATTATTTGGGAGGAGAGGAATAAAAGAATTTACCAAAGATGCTCAAGAAGTTTTGCAGACTTACTCCTTGCTATTAAAGATGTTGTTGCTATTCAGCTTAGAGGTAGGGAAATTAATAGAAAAGACTATGATAACAGCACACTTTGTATGCAATGGGGTATTGATTACTGATATTTTGTTTTGTTGCTTAGCTTGTAAGTAGTGGTATTATTGTTAGAACATACTGTATTTTTAAAACAGTTTCCTATTCTTTTGAATATAAAATTTTGATTTATCAAAAAAAAAAGTCAATTTATTTCTTAATCTCTTGCTAGAAACATCTAGATTATTTATTTTAGATCTACGTTCCGTTTAAAACGATGGTGGAAGGCACATCGCACCAAAATTTAATAATAGAATAATATCCGATTCAATATTTAAATTAGTTGAAATAAAAAATAAGGTGGATGACCATTTTTATTTTCGAAGGTTTAGGAATAAAAAAAAAAGAATTCATATCTTAGCAATTAAGGACCGACTTTCATTACAGCTCCACGCACCCACGATATTAGTATGACTAACCTACCTATTACTACAAATCAACACGAGTCACGACACTCCACGTGTCGGCTCAATAATCGTTTGGTCGTGTCATTCTCCGTCAACATCAACCGCCGTAAATCCTCGAGCCTATAACCATTAAAACGTAATTCCACCCCTTTTATATCTCTTCACCTGCTCCACTTAGGTCTTGTTAATCCGAACCTCCACGTTCGGATTCTAAACCTATCAACGGTCCAGATCAGAGCTTTCCATTTAGTGCCCCTGATTAAATCTAACGTGTACGCTCTCTATTTAGCCGTAAAAAGGATTCCAGCGTCGGAAAGAACGCTCAAAATCTTCATTTCTCTCTAGTTTTTTCCGGGTCTTTTTTTTTTTCCTCTCTTTGGATTCCAAACTTTTTCAAAAATGACCGAGCACGAAGAGAAGAAGCACGAGGAATCGTTGATGGAGAAGATTGCAGATAAGATCCGCGGCCACGATTCGTCGTCGGATTCCGATGACGACAAGCCATCGGAATCGTCGATCAAGGCCAAGGTCTTCCGTCTTTTTGGACGAGAAAAGCCCGTTCACCACGTTCTCGGTGGAGGCAAACGTAAGTAACAAAATCCCCTTTATTCGTTTTTCAAATTTGTTTGTTGATGCTAGTATCAATATTGATTAGAAGAAATTTGTTAAGACTGTGCTATGAAGTTAGAATAGTTTCTCTTAAGCATCAGCTTTTCAGCCAATATCAGTCTCTAGTAAATATCGTGGACTTTGATTAGGGAAATACAGAGCACCGGTGCCATTGTTGGTGAATTAACAGTATTGAGGCACGCTCAGTCGGGAATGCTTCACTGTTCACTTTTTTTTTCTCCTGAGCCTTAAGTTTTGATTAATTGATGTTGTTTGAGCTTAATTTTGTTTTGATCTGTTAATTGTTTGTTTAGAATGAAAAGATATTAAGGGTTTTGTAGATTTCAACTAGACTGATCACTGATGCAATTACTTCTGGTGTAGTTACTTTATTTCAGCGGAAATTTCTTAGATTATCTTGTTTTCTTAAAAGTTTGAGAACGTATTTGTATTCATAATCAATAACCTTTACCGATGATAATAATTGATATTTTTTAAGTTAGTATTATCAGCAATTATTACCTTTTTAGTGTGATTTGTTTATGATGGATGATTACGTACTGAAACTGGGTTTATGTGTAACAGCGGCTGACATTTTCCTGTGGAGGAACAAAAAGATATCAGCAGGAGCGCTTGGTGTTGCAACTGTGATGTGGGTTTTGTTTGAATTGCTCGAATATCACCTTCTCACTCTAGTGTGTCACTTGTTGATTCTGGCTCTCGCTCTACTCTTCTTGTGGTCAAATGCTATGACCTTCATCAACAAGTAAGCTGTCAAATTTGTAGTCTTCTTTTTCGGGTTAACTTTGGATTCTGTTTTCTTTTTAGTCACGGCAATGTTACATTGTTTTGAATAGGTCTCCACCAAACTTCCCCGAGGTTCATATTCCTAAGGACCCGATTATGGAGTTTGCACAAGCACTTAGGTTTGAGATTAACCGGGCTTTTGTTGTCCTACGGAACATTGCATCAGGAAGAGATCTGAAGAAGTTCTTATCTGTATGTAGTTTACCAGTACCACATAGTTATCTTTTTTGGTTGATCACATGCAATTATTCATCCGATTTGCAATTAAGATAGGGATAAGACGTTTGTTTTGTCATTTCCTGATCATTTTATTCATATGAAGATTGCTATTATGCATTTGAGAATCATATATTTGAATGGGGCTGTGATTGTTTAGGTGATTGCCGGCTTGTGGGTCTTGTCTATTGTGGGAAATTGGTGCAACTTCTTGACACTATTCTACATAGGTACTGCACTTAACTTAGGTGTTTTTTATCTCTTCCTGATAAGCATTTTGGTTTCCTGATTTTGCTTTAATGGTCTTGCAAAAAGTCTTCGTTCTACTTCACACTGTACCTGTGCTGTATGAGAAATACGAGGACAAGGTGGACCCGCTTGCTGAGAAAGCAATGCATGAGATCAAGAAGCAATATGCAGTGTTTGATGAAAAAGTCTTAAGTAAGATTCCAAGGGGACCGTTAAAGGAAAAGAAGAAGGATTAGAAGGCCAAGATGTTCTTTTGATAGGTTTCTGACGTACATTTAGTTGCCTTAGATGAAACGTGTTCTTTACTATATATGCTGTATCAGCTAGAACCCTGTTTTAATCCCTTATTTTCGCAGTAAATGGGATCATAATGTTGGTGAATATTGCATCTTTATTTGAAATCTTGTTCTTCCTAAGGATCCATATGCTATATGACAATATTTTACCATGTTGCATGTTGGATAGGGTCCATTGGGTTGAAACTTTCCCTTGTGATTGTTGATTGATTGACCATTGCTATCAAAATGTTGTTTTACGATAATTTCATTAGAATGATGCCAAATGTTTGCACAATTTGCCAAGACTACCTGTCACATACAATGCTGCAAGAAATCTTTGATTCTTTCTACAGGTCGATTATTTAGATGAATAATTAGGCCTTCCTTCAAACCAAATTCTTTGATCTCTGACGAAGTCGATTCTCATTAGATCTCGTTTCTTCAATTGGGATTTTGATTTAGTTTAATTGTTGCAGGTGTTGGTTTTCTTTTGTGTTTTGTTTTGTTCTTTTTGCTAGAGGTGTAAATTAGAAAATGGATAATTGTCGATTGGATTTTCTGGTTGAGGAAGTGAGTTTTAAGTGTTTCTGGTTTGTTATAATAGTGTATTTCTCCATTTGAGAATATTTCGTGTTTTCATATGTATTTGATACTATTATTAATAAATTATGAGGTACTCTTTTCTTCCTTCTAATGTTCGTTAACATACTTTTAAGTATGTGGACGAATACGGATTTTTTTTTTAACGGGGCCTCTAAATTCTATCCAAAAAAAAAACAGATGCGCAAACCACTGATGATTTTAGAAAACGATAACTGTTTCTCGTCATTACAGAGAAAATATAAATCAACAACCCAGTGGAGGGTTGAATTTCATTGTCGTCATAACAAAGAAAATGTAAATCAACAACCCAGTGGAGGGTTGAATTTGGGCCAGCAGATGAGCAGGCTACACTCGGCTTTACTTGCGTCGACGGTTATTGGTCAACTCCGGGGTGCCTTTTCTCATCATCGCAACAAACTCGTCATAGTTAATTCTGCCATCCTGCAGGAAGAACACAGTACATCGAATGTGAAGATTCGATTAAAACTGTCGAGAAAAACAAGTTACTAAAAAGGAAGAATCATACCCTGTCCGTGTCAACTTCTGCAATGATCTCTTTTATTGTTTTCTCATCACCCATATTATACTTCTTCAGGGCCTGCTCTAGCTCTTCCATTGTAATGTACCTAAATTTAGTAAATAAGTTCAATCATGGCCGTAGCATATGGCTGGGGAATTAAAATTACACAAAACGGTTATATAGATTAAAAGTGTGGCTTACCCGCTATTGTCCTTGTCGAAGTATTGGAAAGCAGTGTACAAGTGTTCTTCTCTTTCCATTCTATTCATATGCATAGTAGCTGTTATAAACTCGATGTAATCAATCGTTCCGTTCCATCAACATCAGCCTGGGGAAGTAGCAAACGGGTTATACAATAATATACCTAAGTTCGCCTGGGGAAGTAACAAACAGGTTGTATAATAATATACCTAAGTTATAAAGGATGATTTACATAACGAGATTTATACACATTTTAAATATTTCAGGTACAACTCCAAGAAAAAGAATTCATGGACCTTTTTTTTTATAGGTTCTCATCTGTCATTAACATTCCAGTTGAAAGCATGTTAATCAAGAAATAGCAAATTATTTGACAGACCAATGATTATTATGCAGGATGTATATAAAAGGGCAGAGCATACCGCTTCCATTAACTGCCTCACTTCATGCTCAGAAAGCTTAGTACCGAGTTTAGGAAGGCCAGCTTTCAACTCCTCAAAGGTGATTGTTCCACTGTTATCAGTGTCCATAGATTTGAACATCTCCTTCAAACCTATGATTTCCTCTTCAGATAAATTTTCTGCAATTACCTGAAAGGAGAGAAAGAAAGAATAATCAACAACGATGATGAATGCATTGCCACATTGCTGCCATCAACCAATAGCCTGAAATAGACTAGAGTCTTTGTACCACTAAGCTTGAAACATTTAGAACAGAACACCTCATTGCTATTTCCCCATTATATTATATTCTTTTCAGTTTCATGAATTTTTAGCTTACTTATTAATATTTCATAATGCAACAGAGAAAGCAGTTCACCTTTAAAGCAACTTTTTGAGTTTGTTCATTGCCCTGAATTGCTTCATTCTAGATAAAACAGCAATATCAAGAGGCTTATCAGATGCATCACCATCTTCACGCATCCATGGATGATCTGCAGTGCAATTGGGAAGTGAAGCTCTATTTGTTTTTTTACAGAATTTACACGAAACATCAAGCAAAATAAGAAACAATGGGAAAAACTCAAATTTTGAATTGGACAGCCAACTTGATAGTTTCAAATTCAAGGCTTTTAACTTCCTTATCCTTCACAACAGAGCACAACCACCATCAACTAGCAAAACACTAATCGGTTCATAGGTCCTTCCAATTAAGAGGGGGAAAGGGGAAAAAGACTTACTTAAGACTTCAACTGCTGAAAGCCGTTCCTTAAGATCATTTTGTAGCATCTTCCTCACAAGATCTTTGGCACTGCTGGAAACAGAAGGCCATGGATCTGATGAGAAATCGATATTTCCCCGAAGAATAGAATCAAAGATATTCTGTTCAGTTTCTGCATGCAAAACCAAAAGCATAGATGAGAGACCCTCTCACTCATCCACCACTCAGTAGTGCTCTTATTATAGATAAGCTCTTATCCCACATATGCACTTAACTAGAAATCATTGAAAATTTAAAACTTAAAATGCTTCTGATTCCTAAAGAAGGATTCGGCTGTACAAAATTATTGTGAGGATCTTCTAATCATCACAAGAAACAACAGTAATACCTCCATAGAATGGCGGGACCCCACTAAGGAGAATGTAAAGAATCACCCCAGCGCTCCAAATATCGGCTTCATGTCCATATCGGCGGCGCAATACTTCTGGAGCTACATAATAAGCACTTCCAACAAGATCCTTAAAAACATCACCTGCATGCATCAGTAAAGAAATTTTCTAGTTGATATTCATCATCAATAAGTCATCATCAGTAAATTTGAGGAAAAAAGTAACCATCTTGGCCTACATTACTCAGATAAATTGCTGACAAAAGATGAAATTTTAAGGTTAACTTTAAATGGTAACAACTTCTTGTAAAACAACTAAGAACGAAAACTATGTGAAAATTTTCATTAAGTTGTTGATGATGATTGTAGCTACAATAACTGTCCAGCATAATATGCTTTCCAGTTCTCTTTGACATTATCTCTACTTGTTTTACATTACATTACACAATAAACACAAAAAGAAATCCAACTCATGGATTCAACCATGTAACTCCAACTAGCCTTACTAGGATGGAAATTTAGAATCCCTGCTTTTTAACATCGATAAATCTTTTGATCGCATTTTCATAGAACTAATAGTAATCATAAGTTCCATCTCAACAAAATCAAACAGATTCAAATCAGAGAAACCAAAATTGCTTACCTGGCTTAAAAAATACAGAGAGGCCGAAATCTGTGGCCTTCAATGGAGAATTCTCGTCCTTACTTAAGAACAAGAAATTCTCAGGCTTTAAGTCCCTATGCATAACCCCCATGGAATGACAGTTATGCACCACCGTCACCATCTGCCTGCACAAATTTGCCGCCTCCCTCTCTGAATAATGACCTTTCGCTATAATGCGGTCAAACAACTCCCCTCCCGCACAAAGTTCCATTATCAGATGCACGAAGTGCCGGTCCTCATAAGCCGCCTTCAGCTCCACAATATTTCTGTCAGACCCGTTAAAATCTTTAAGACAACTATATCTACGACAAAATCAGGTATATAATATCATAGTTTTGTTTTGGTGGGGAAACCTGTGGCCGGTGAGGTGGTGCATGATCTGGACTTCACGGCGGACGTCTTCGATATCATCATGGTTGATAAGCTTACGGGTGGCAATAGATTTACAAGCGAATTGCTGCTTGGTTTCTTTATGAGTCACCAAGTAGGTAACACCGAACTGCCCACGCCCGAGCTCACGACCGAAATCGTAAGTTGACCGGACATCCTCCATGGGACGGCCGAGCACACGACCGATTCGTGGAGCAGTGGAGGTAGCTTTGTGGTGGTCGGGGGCAGCGGAGGACGACTGGTGGAGGGTTGGAGGTTTTGGGGGTCTTGGAGCCGATGCCTCAGCAGGTATGACATTGATTTCATGACGGGGATTACCGCCAGAGTTGGTGGTCGGTCGGGACTGGTTATCGGAAGAAGGAGCACCGTTACAGTTACCCATTCTTCAAAAAAAAATATGAAAAGGGGCCAATCTCCTTTTACTAGGTCAAATGTAAGTCGATCGAATTAGGAGTGTGTAAGAGGAAAGTTGCAAGGTAAAAGTTTTTTCTTTTGTTTTTTTTATTTTGTCCGAAACTGCATGTAAGAAAATTTGAGGCTTTACGCGCGTGTGCAAGCTTCACGCGCTCCCATGAAATGATACTTTACGCGCGTTCTGCGCAAATAGCAGTTCCCTGCTTTGGATTAATTTTGACGCCAGTACTTGTACTATTTTTAAATTTTGAAATCTGGTCTGGGAAAAGAGGAAATTTCTCATTGGCCAAACAGTTCAAATTTAGGAAGTGTCACAGACATCGAGAATGAAAAATATTAGTACAAAAGAAGTTGAAATCGAACTCATAAGTGATTTAGTAGTTAAATAGACGATTTTTTTAGAGATCTTTAAGTTAAGTAATTGTATATGTAAATAGAAAATTATAAATAAATATTATATTATATATGTTGGAAATAATAATATTATAAAACTACACCGTTAGCATTGACAAGACAATTTAAAAATAAAAGTAGTGGAATTCAAAACAAAATTTTGTCGTGATGCAACTATTGCCTTAGAAACAAATTCGTCTCAATGTGTATAATTGTTGTGTTAGGTAGATCGTCCCTTAAGGCTAACATGGTGCTCCGAGGATTCATACACCCGAAAATCATAGTAGACTGTGGTGATACTACTCTTCTCTTGGCACTAGAAAAACTGAGAGGATTTCTTTAGTTTTGGATGATTTGAGAATATGAAAATCTTTCTCTATTTATAGGCTGGGCTCAGGGACAAAAGCGTCTAAGCAAAAAAATCAGATATAATTCTGATTTAATTTTTTTTTGGATATTTTATTGTTTGAATGGTTGTCATAAATGAATGAATCTGGTCTCAAAGCTATCCAGATTCATGATTCGAAAATAGTTGTTATAGCAACTATTTAATATGTAATTAAGCCAATAACTGAGCAATATAACAGTTTTTAAATTTACTCTGAACATAACTGAAATATTGTCCAAATACATCAGAAAATTCAACCAGATAAAATTCTAGCAATCACTAATATAGTTGTTACCTCTGTAAATTTGAATCGAACCACGAACACAAGCACGAGAAGAGACGGACGATAGCAACAGCGCGCGAGATGGTCCATTTTCTTTATCACTCAACAAGGGAGGGGAGAATAAACACTAAATACTCTTGAATAAGTATTTCCCACTCAATGTGGGATAGTATTTGAAGCATTACCAACATTCTCCCACTAATGCGAAAAAATTCTGTTGAATCTATTTTCATATAACATATTTATGGGCAAAATATTTTTGGATTAAATTGAATTTATTCAAAGATTTCAAAAAAATTCAAATTCCATAAAACTTGAATTTGAACACAAAACAATTTTCTGGGCAAGAAGTACCAATATTATTCATACTGTATCGATACTATATGAACAATATCGATATTGTTATTGTAGTATCGATACCCAAGGTGAGGGAAGTATCGATACTCTCATGGTAGTATTAATATTGGCTATTTGTTTTAAATATGTTTAGATTTCAGTGTGTAAAATTGGTACCGATGCTCAAAGGAGTGTTGATATTAATATATAATAATATCAATATCGTAAACCTTAGTATCGATACTCCTAGCCCAATAGTAAAAAAATGACTAGTTTTATTTAAAATTTATTAGGAAACTGCCTATGCTCCAAGCACGTGTATCGATACTCTCTGGTCTTGACATTTTATTTTGCAGCAATTAAGTCACCAACAGCTTCAAAATATCTCCAACGACTAGAAACGGCTAAAAACTCATTCCAACATATAAAAACAAGTTGAGGACATTTGAATAATGTTACACAACACCTATTCAAACATTGATCATCAAGAGAAAAACTTTCATTTGAGATGTTTCTTGTTTACATTCTTTTTATCCTTTTGTAAAAGCCATTTGGTTCTAGTTTAGCCATCGAAAACTAGGGAGTTGAAAAATGTTACTCTTGAGCCTAGAAAAAAAAAGAACAAATTAGTGAATTTGTTAGAAAATCTTAGTGCGGAGCTAAGATAGTGGATATAAACTTCATTGAAGAAATTGAACTATTATAAATCGTTGTGTATTTTTTCCTATCATTTCTCTCCATACTCCCAAATTTTTTATTTGGCCAATTCATCATCTTTTGGCACCTTTTCACTTGATCGATAGAGCATCATAAATCTCAAAAAGTTATCTTGAAACTCAAGAGATAATCTTTTGAGAAGAGAAATAACGAAATTAGTTGCTTAAGCACTTGTAAACGTATCTAGAACTAATACATAGTGTTGATAAGCAATCATTCTCTCAAATAAGTGAAACTAGTCTTAAACTTTCTAAGATATGAGTAAACTCATAACACACGACTAACCTCTTCATCTACCGAACTCCTCGATGTGTAAGATATATATATATATACACACAAGGATGTGTGCTAAAAATTGTACTTTAATAAAGAAATAATTTTTAGATCTGCATAGAAAGAAAAAGAACTCAATACCCATGAAATTTCAATAGAAAATATTTTATTTAAAAATTAAATTTCAAGAAACAATAAATACACACAAAAATCTTCTTACCTATAAATTGATTGGAGTAGAATTAGAAAAACCATCTCTATCATATTCTCTTCTCTGATTCATGATTGTTTCGCATGAATAAAGTAGTCGGTAAAAGTTTGAGTAACAAATCATTAGAACTTAACTCTGAATTTTGTTAAAAAAATGAAATAATAACAAGCTTCCATCACCTCTTACTTATAGAATATGAAGAAGGAAAATAGAGACATTATGTTTTTTCCCTACTGAAATAAGGGCATTAATGAGATATACAAATGGGTATTTGCTCCACTAGGGAGAAAGAGGAAAAAATAGAGAAAGATAATGAATTAAGAGTCAAATCTTACTAGGTAGTTCTACTGTACAACATCGTTAATATATGGCTAAGTAAAGATCATACCGGAAATGTTAATATTTTTAATATTTTTGGTAAAACGATACCTAAAATATTATTTTTTTAGCGAAAATATTAATTTTGATAACTAATTTCCAGTATAACCCAATATTAATATTTTTTGTAGAAAAAATAATGTTTTAGGTGACGTTTTATCGGAAATGTTAAACATTTTAGGTAGCGTCCAATGTTAACATTTTCGATAGAAAAATATAATGTTTTATGTAGAGTTTTATTGAAAATGTTAAAAAATATTAACATTTTCGGTAACGTATTTTCTTAACCGTATATTAAATTTGTGAGACATCCCAATCTTACTCATTTTGTCGCCGAGTAAAGATTTTCTTGATGATTCCGTCGGTGAGGAAAAAAGAAGGTAAGAAAATGTTCTTTCGAACGTGTGAGAAAATATTCTTTTGAAAATACAACGGTGAGTTATTTTACCACAAAATACGCCTTCTTTTCCTTTGACCGTAAATTTTTACGTTGTATCGTTTTACTTTGCATGGTCAAACAAACGTACCCTTAAATTGAGAGTTGAAATCCTGATGGTAACATATATGTTCTTTACAACCTTAAGATAAATTAGGACTGGAAACTCATAACAAACACACATGCGTATGCATATAAAGCTTGCACAAATTACATCCTATTTCGTCAAACTAGAAACCTCCAGGGCTAAACTGCTTAGTAGCATTCATACAACTTAATATCCATCTTAAGACGAAAATATTTGGTGCCTTCCTGAGCCATAGTCCGAAACGTTGCAATGCCTCTGGCCATGAAGAAATCACCGGTTCCCCCGACAACCGACAGATCTCTCGTCTTCTCCATCATCATGTCCGCACCCATAATGTTCAGAGTCCCCTTGTAATCACTCGAGTTAAAGATCAAAGTGTAAGCAAACCATGCATTGTAGGTAGTTTTCATGTCGTAGAAGTAGAAACCCTGTGCTCTTGCAACGGGAGGGGAAAGTAGGTGCTGGTCTTTCGTTATCGGATCATCGAATACCACCAGCATCCCGAAGTTGGTGTTCCCTAGCCCGGTCGCATTGGCAGTAGTTGCGGATGTCGCGTTAGCAACGTCGTTGCCACCGAAGAGGATGTCATGGTAGTAGAGGACGAATCGTTTGCATGGTTTTGTCGGATTAAATAACTTTCTGCTAGCGGAGACTGAGTGGGACACAAATAGGGTTAAGAGGAAAACGCAACATGATTTCACTACAAGAGATCTCATGTCTAATGAAGAGAGAGGTTGCTTGATTGAGGCTTGTGTTGGATGGAACCAACTCTCTTCCCATGTCTATATATAGTGTAAATGCACATACAAATACAATCATAAAAGCAAAATTTCATGTCAATAATACAAGCTTAAAAAATTATAAAAATTAAGGGGTGCGAAATTAAATCAACACCTAAATTATATAAAGATTTTAAAAATTAAAAATACAATCGCACTTAACATTTCTCCATGTGCACACCTAAAAGCAGCTTAGAATAAGAAAAAGGATTAGTGGTTAAAATAGGGATGAACATATAGAAACAAGAAATGATTGCACAAGCCACTTATTATTTAGCAACATGGGGCGAGAGCAATGATTTTTCTGCTTCACTATGGAGTGTTGGTCCACATCAGTCAATTTTCATAGGTGGGAAGTAAAAGATTGCACCTACTCCCATTAACAACCACTCCCAGGATCTTCTTCGAAGAGCGAAATCCACTAAGTTTATCATCCAAGACGTATTGTTCTTCTTTAAATATTAATATAAAATCTTAAATATAAAATATTGTATGTGTTTTTCCATGAATAATTGTTTAAATTATTTTTTAAATGATTTTTTAAATGATTTTGATACTTAATGTCACAAACGGTATAATTTTAGATGTATGGCCCCGTCAACGGCATTAATTTCCTCCTTTAAATGACACATGTTATAATATAATAATTTTAAAATTTATTTTTTAAAAAATATTAAAAATATTATTATATTTATTAAAAGAACTTAATTTCTTTTAAATTATAAAAAAACCTCAAATTTCCTAAAATCTCCAAACCCTAACCCGTCACCACTGTTCTTTTTGGCCAAGACCACTATCGCTGACTAATCTCTGTCATCCTCCTATTCATATGCCGTCGTAGTTGCCATCGATTGGCCATTGCATGAGATCGTGATTTTCATCCTAAAGTTCACATGGAATAAAATGTCGACTCATCATCGATCGATCACGATTTCATACGGGTTATGGCCGTCGAGAGAGGTGAGGTCAGGTGGAGTTTCATCGATGACAAAGGACTGAGGTCGTCGTGGGTGTAGGGGTTGAAATGAAGGTTTTCAAAGTTAGAGTTATTTCGAAATTTACGTGTGTTGCTTTTTTAAAAATATAACTTAAATGTTTTTATTTTAAATAAACTTTTAAAATTACCAGATTGTGACACATGTCACTTAACGGAGAAAATTAACGTCGTTGACGATCCGAACAACTATAGTGATAATGTTTGTAACGCTAGGTACATGGATCATTTAAAAAATAGTTTAGACACCTATTCGTAAAAAACTTTATAATTTATACACTTATTTTATAATTAAGCCTCAAATAAACTATACTCTCACTTTTTTATATGAATGTTAATTCGTTATTAAGGTAGAAAAATAAATTGTAATTCAAATTTTATTTAGTTTAAGTTAATAAAAATTTCGTAGTAAGCAGCTTGATATCGCTTAAGTAAGCATCGAGTTCAAATTTTTGTATATGCAGAAAATCGCCATTTGAATACCCACTCACCAAAACTAGGTGTGTGGCACGGATTAGTCCAAATTAATTAGACAAAATCTTGAAACCCGAAAATATATAAAAATCATCATACGAATTACCAAATAATTAAAATTAGAAGAAATAAAAATTTATAATAGATGTAATCATGTAAGGAGTATTGAGTCTACTATCTGGAATTTAATGCTCATAAATTTATTTATTTATTTAAAAGAAGTGATCATAAGTTTATATAATTGTATTTAGGGTTAAAGTTCCCCCATGTATCATAGTTAATATTATCCTTAATCATAATGAATTTTCTTTTCCACCCATGATTTTTTGTCGACAAATATTTTTCAACTAGATATATATGTTTGTTTTCTTTTGCTAATTTATTATTGATTTCTTACTATTAATATATCTTAGAGTGCGTTTGGTTCACGGAATGTAAGATTACCAGTAGGAATGTAAGATTATCAGGAAATATGATTAATGTGAATGTTGTATTTTGTGTTTGGTTGGTTTAACAAGAATGTAAGATTATCGTGTTTGGTTAAAGGAATAAAAGATTATTGGAATGTATATTTGACCAAATTGTCCTTATTATATATTTGTTTTTTTAACAAGTTGGAAAATATTTATATATTTTCTTTAAAAAAATTAAATTCATAAAATTTATATAATTTTTTTTACAAAATTGAAAATATAAAAAGGTTTAATGAAATGGTAAAATTTTATTTTAACCCTTTAACTTCATATAAAATTTTAATTATAGATTTTTTTTTTGTAAATCTAAAATAGTTTAAGGATAAATTTATAATTTAACCTTCAAAGAATTTTTTTCATAAAATTTATATAATTTTTTTTACAAAATTGAAAATATAAAAAGGTTTAATGAAAGGGTAAAATTTTATTTTAACTCTTGAACTTCATATAAAATTTTAATTATAGATTTTTTTTTGTAAATCTAAAATAGTTTAAAGATAAATTTATAATTTAGCCATCATATAATTTTTATTATTCAATGACAGAAGAATGATATTTTTGGAGAAACAATTAAGGGCATTTTAGTCCAAAACGTCGGTAATACAACAATACCTAAGGAAATGGAGGTAATGACATTCCCGGTAATATACCCAAAAAATCACTATTAATAATCTTACATTACCGAGAATGAGATTTCCGACTAACTAAATGAGAAAATATGGATTTCATTCCCATATCCCACATTCCCCATCCAAACGCCCCCTCAATACCAAATAATATTCCAAGTGGGTGTAGTGGAAATGTGTTGAGATGATTTTGACCTGTTTGAATATTAGAACCATAAGAAACAAAATATGTTAGACTAATCCGATTGGAATGAAATTAATAGTTTGAGGATTGAAATAAATCATATATCACTTCTTTATTTTTATATTTTGAATGGATGAGCAGCAACGGTCAACCCTTTTTATTTCCTTTCTAATTTTCCATTGTACCGGGTACACTCTAAAATCATTTTGTTTTGGATAGATTACGCGTTTAGTATCTAAACTATCAGTTTAAATTTATTTTAATTGTCACACCCTAAAATAGGAATTAGATCTTTCTTAATATTAATTATGAGGATTAAAATAAATTTTAATTAAATTTGGAGATCAAAGTGAATTTTACATTAAATTTGAGGCAAAATCATAAATTATGAAACATTTGAGGACTTGTGGCATGATTTTGCCATTTTCTTTAAGTTTTGGGTTTAAATCTTCCCAAAATGAAAGTTTCCTCATTTGGAAATTTAAACTTTCTCTCTCTTCATACTTCCTCTTCTCGAAAGCTTTTAGTCAAGAAACTTTAAACGTCTTTTTTGCCGTAGTTATTTGCTCCGTTAGCTACACCTAGCATACTATCGTGTTTTTTGTATCATCCCGAGTTTAATGGTAGTCATTTTGTTGTCTCTGTCGTCGGCATTTGGAGGGGTAAAATAGTTAAATTTTCTGACGTAGTGTAATTGGGTTCTCCGCAGTTCATCGTGGTGAACCGAGTTTGATAAGTACCTTAAAAACGTTTAAAATAATTTTAAGAAAATTTTCGTAATTTTTTCGTCGTCTGCCTAAGGCTTGTCCACCGTCCTGGTGGCCTTCTAGAAACGAGTTAATCTGACTCGTTGACCCATGTTTTTTATTCGTATCTGTATCCGACTCGACCCGTGTACCCGATTGGCCCAAACCTACCCAGTTAGACCAGCCCAACCGAACTGAATAGATCGAATCGAACAAATATGTGTTGAGCTGAGTCGTTGATCTTTGACCGACATTGACTTTTTTCAAATACCTCCCTCTTAATGTTTGTCGACGTTCTGAGTTTGATTTTGCGATTTGTTTTACCAAATTTTGACATGAAAGCCCCGAATCGAGACCATTAAACCAAAAATGCTTAGTATTGTTAACATTTCTAAATTTTTATTTGGGATTTGATTATGGAATTAATCTTAGATTATATTTTCATAAAGGTACTCATGATTCCCCTAACCGAGGGCCGACTAGGTCTGTCACTTCCCGACCAACAAATTCGCACGGCTCACGTTCTTCGAGAACTACTTGTAGATTTTTGTAAATAGTTAAATTAAACTTTATTAATTATTATGTTAGAATTTTAATATAGTTTTTTTCGACTCGTAGGATCTTGCGATGTCGCTTAGGGCTGTAAACGAGCCGAGTCGAACTCGAGTATTGTTGAGCTCAACTCAAACTCGAAAAGTTTAAAATTAGGCTCGACTCGAAAACTCGCGAGCTAAAAATTATGAAGCCCAGCTCAAACTCGAAACATAATATTGAAACTCGACTCGAACTCGAAAAAGGCTCAAATTCAAAAAAAAAAAATCAAGAGCTCGATTGAAGCTCGAACTCAAACTCGAATTTGAACCTACAAAAATCTTATATTACATTTAAAAATATTTTTTAAAAATTTTATAATTATCAATAATGTATTTTTAATATAATTTTAATAATGTAATTTTAAAAAAATCTAAAATTATAATATAACATTTTTTTTCGAGTAGCTCGCGAGCTTTTCGAGTCGAGTATTAAGTAGTTCGTTTTAGCTCGTTAAGAATTCGAGTCGAGTTCGAACTTGAGTAGAGTTCATTTGATTCGAGTGTTGATCGAGCTTTGACCGATTCGATCTTGAGTAGCTCGCGATCTGTCTCGTCTCATTTACAGCCCTAATGTCGCCGATCTTGATCAGCTGACCCGAGAGTAAGCTGTCGTACCTGACTCCTCATATCGATACAAGTGTGTTCCTATTGGTGTTATAATATTATTTTGAACTATTTTAAATTTTTTATTATATTAAATATTCTGACTGCATGATATCTAATTTACCGTATATTTCCAACATGATATATGGTTACCGTATTTTTGTATCTGATTCTGGAATATGACATGTTTTAATAAATTAAACTATTAAGTATAAGGTCCTTACTGATTGTATAAGTGGGTGTATGGTTAAGGGGAACCTACATATTCTGACGTTCGGATGAGAGTAGTGTAGTGTTCATGTTTTAAAAGCATTTTTTACGAGATGTACATGTGTGTGTATAGTTCAGGGAAACCAACACATTTTAGTGTTCGAATAAGGGTAGTGTTCATGTTCTAAAAGCATGTTTTATAAAAAGATTTTTCACTTAAGTGTCTATATTTATATTTTTATACACTACAATGAGCACATTGTGCTTTTCAACTCATTCTTTAATTTTTAACTTTTCAGATAGTATCAGACAATAGGCTAACAAACTTGGCATAATGAGGATCGATCTCTCACTTTTGTACCACTATATATTTTTGTATGCCCTTCTTGTTATACTTTGGAGACACATGTTTTTACTACTGTCTTCACATATATGTATTATCGGTATTTTGTTTCTAAGCACGTTTTATACGTTTCTGATGATGGTATATTATATTTTTACTATATGAACCTTAGTTATGGTTATTTCAGTATTTTACCGTTACATGAATTCTATTTATTGAAATAGATTTGGACTGCATTTTGAATATGAAAATGAATTTTGAATACGAAAATGAATTCTAAATACGACATGTGACCGTTTAGATTCTGAATACCTAAACTTTTCATTTTTTTAAAATCATACCTAAAATTTGATTTTTGTTTCATTTTAGTACCTCATTCAAAATTTAATATTATTATTTTTTTTTTAAAAATAAAAGTTTAGATACTAAAACAAATTAAAACTGATAATTTAGGTGCTAAACACATCAAGTTTTTAACGACAAATTACTAAAATAAAACAAAAACCAAAAGTTAAGTATGGTTTTTAAAAAAAATGAAAATTTAATATTAAAATGAACTAAAACTGATAGTTTAAGTACTAATTGCATAATTTACCCTTTTATTTTATTCTTTCTCGTCAGTCCAATTTTATAATTTTCTACTAAACCAAGCCTCCTCCATGTGCAATGAATTTTCTTCAAGATATAAATTGAATACGAAAACATTGCCAATTCAAATGAATATAAACAAAAATAAATTCGCTGAAACTATTCAAAGAAAGGTTGATAATGATCATAACACTTAAGTCTTTCAAAAGCAAGGCTACACGAAAAGAATAGTTCTCCTCGATATTTAAATCAGTCAAGCTCCTAGTGAAGGCAAGACTTCTCCAAATCCATGCCATGTTACAAAGAAACTCACCAGAACCGAGGTTGACTGTTATAGGTGCTTTTCGAAGGATATCAAAATGCTTCTTCTCATATACTCTCAACAGAACCCTGTTTCCATAGTTGGAGGCTCCTCACCTCAATGCCTACTGAATATTAACAAATTGCAACAGCATGGATTTATGGGAAAACTACCCTGCTATCCACTCGCATCCTTGTTACGAAGCCTATAAACTATTCGTCCCTTGGTAGAATCATAAGGACTCATTTCAACTCTAACTCTATCTCCAGGCAATACACGTACAAAATTCTTCCGTATCTTTCCCGAAAGATAACCTATAATTAAATCCTTATTGTCCAAAAGGACTCGAAACATACCATTGGAAAGTGACTCAGTAATTAAACCTTCATGAACAAATTTCTTGTCTCCCTGCTTCGCCGCACTTTTTTCAAATTTACTTTTGACTACCCTATCAGTTTCGGGGCCCCTTGAGCTTGCTTTCTTGCAAGTTATCGTTCTTGTTGACACCTTACTCGGATTGAATCTTACCCTGCTACTGTAAAACAAAGAATGAGGCTAAAAAGTGTTAGGTTTGCATTGTTTCCAACCAAGCAGTATTTCAAGATTCAAATTTTAGAAATCGTAACATCCTTGTTGACGAAATGGTTATCAAAGATTAGAAAGATATAAGTTTTTTTTTCATGAATCATCATACAAATGATTCCAAATGGGGGCTGGATTAAAAAGAAGAAAACTTTACACAAATTAACACTTGATTATAGATTAAAGCAGCAATCAACCACAAAATTAGAAGAGCCAGACACAGAAACAAACTTCGAAATTCAAAACCAAATCAAACCCATATTATATACGGCAGAACTCAGAATTAATATAAAATAAATCTTAGAAGTTGGTGGTTTACAGTGAACAGAAAGAAGTAAAAATATGAACCAAAAGAAGTCATATAATTATAGAATAATTTACACAAAGATGATGGCTTACTTGATGAAAAAGCAAGTGGGAACCTTATGTTGGCGGGAAAGAAAGAGAGAGGAGAATGGAGTGTGAAGATTGGAGCAGAGGGAAGCCATGATGTCGAAACCCTAAGCTCACACTGTAAAGCGGGAATGTATTGGCTTCCAATCCTCTAGCCCAAAACTGATGCTATGTTATCCGATTAGAGTTATCCAGTGTGACAAGGCCTATACTTTTTAAGTTGCGCTAATTGATCAATCAAAGAAGAATTGTTTAATAAATAAAATGTTCAAGTTGTATTTTTATTTTGTTTTATACATTTAAATTTTTTAATTAAAAAATAAATATTTAATATAGGCTTAATTATAAAATAAGTGCCCAAACTATATTGCTTTTTTCAAATATGTGTCTAAACCTTTTTTTGAATTATTTAGATACCTAACATTACAAACGTTAAGTGACACGTGTCACACTTAGGTAATTGTATTTTTTAAAAATAAAAAACAAAAAACTTATTTTTTTGATATTACTAAAACCCTAAATCCCTAAAAATTACAAACCTAACCTTAATTATAACACCCCAAATATCAGGTTAGAAGTTTCGGGTTAACCCGAGATAGTTTGAGCGAGCCCAATTACCTTGTAGTAGAACTTGATCCATTTGGAGTTGATTTGGATTGGTGTTTGGGCCCATGAGATGTAAAAAAAAGGGTATTTTAACTTTATGATGAAAGATGAAGGATTAAAAAAGCAATTAGACCAACGTTTGAAACAAAATCTGAAATCCTTTCATGAGAGATGATCTCACACTTGATTTTCTCTCTTTTTCACCACACTCATCTTTGTCTTTTTCCTTTATTCTTTATCTAATTCTTCATCTCCAAGAGTATAACAAACGTTGAAGCTTTTGGTTTGATAAGCCTAGTTCAAGGATTCCAAGGTAATAAGTGAAATCTTCATCTTCAAAGCTTCCATTCAAGCCTTTAAACTCAAGTTTTGGTCATAGTTCCATAAAATAGGTTTCAGTGGGGGTTTAAGAAATCAAACATTTTTAACTCGTTTTTAGTGGATTTATGTGTTAGGAAGTGTCCTTAACTTCAATCCAAGCTCCTAGATGAGTTAGTAACTCATTTACCTTGTCTTTAACTAGTGAAAGAGGTAGCAGAGAGATCCAAGGCTAAAGGGAAATAGAAACTAACCCTTGGTAACACATTCACAACTCTTTCATACCATTTGTGAGTCATTAACATGCATCTAGCTAAGGAGTTTAGAGTTTGTGAAACATAAATGAACATTTACGGTAGATTCAAGTAATTGGTGTCTTTAGCATGTTTAAAGACCTATTATGATTATCTCTTACATACATAAGACTTTGAAAACCTTAATAGGGCCTTTGGGGTGGTTTTGGGAGTCAAGTTCGTGCCCAAATAAGGCATACATGGATACGAGTATCGGTACTGGAAGAACAGTGTTGATATTGTTCATCAAATAGCTTAAAAATAATAGAGTTTAGGAAGAGTAGTATGGATACTTCCCGAAGGAGTATCGATACTGAGGGTTTGGTTTCGATACTCGCAAGATAGTATCAATACTGTTAGGATTTTTGAAGTTCAATTGATCAACCGAAATTGTTGCTATGAGGGGGTGAATTGACCTTTTTAAAATTTTGGGAATTTTAGGATAAAATATAAGAAAATTTGTTCAAAGATTTATAGTGGTTCAACTTCCTCAATGAAGTTTACATTCACTACCTTAGCTCATCATTAAGGATTTACAACAAATTCACTAATTTGTTATTTCTTTTTCTATGCTCAAGAGTAACCTTTACAAATTCCCTATCTTTTACAATGGCTAAGTTAGAACCAAAACCCTTTTTTAACAAGGATAAAAGGTTGAAAACAAGAAACCTCTCAAATGAAGGTGTTTACACAATTTAGCTCACTAGAACACTCTATGTACAAGAGAAAATGAAAAAAAAATAAGATTGAAATACCTTTTCTCTTGGTATAGATTGCTTGGATAGGTGTTGTAAACTTCTTCAAGCGTCCTCAACGTGTTTTTATATGTTGGAATGTGTTTGTAGTTGTTGGGATGTTTTGGAGCCTTTGGGGACTTAATTGATGCAAAATAAAATGCGCACACCAGGGAGTATCGATACTTGGGCTTGGAGTACTGACACTGCACTAATAAAAACTAGTCGTTTTTCGACCGTTGGACTGGGAGTATCGGTACTGAGATCATGGTATCGATACTGCTATACAAAGTAATATCGATACTCCTTTGAGTATCAATACCAAAAATGCTTACTGGAATCTGAACACATTTAAAATCAATAAGCAATATCAGTATTGCCATAAGGGTATTGATATTTTTCTTACCTTGGGTATCCGATACTATAAGAACAACATCGATATTGTTCATGTGGTATCGATACTGTAAGAACAATATTGATACTTCTTTTAAGAAAATCATTTTTGTGTTCAAATTCAAGTTTTATAGACTTTGAATTATTTTTGAAAACTTTGAATAAATTTACGTTGGTCCAAAAACATTTTTCCCATAAAATTGTCATATTAAAATAGGTTCAACAAATACCAAGTAAACTTAGCAAATTCCAGTATTTCATTTTGGTATCGGTACTTATGGGAGTATCGATACCATAAGAGTATCGATATCATCGGTACTTATGGGAGTATCGATACCATAAGAGTATCGATATCGAGGTATTTTTGTAAACATCGAAGCAAAAACTAGTATACCCCATAAAGTATCAAAACCCTAGCGAGAGTATCGATATTGGTATAGTAATATCGATACTACCTTCCATTCTTAACTTGATATAACCCTATGGTATCAATACCATAGTACATTTTTGGGCAAGAAGCTCAAGGGAATTAGAAATAATATTGAATGACCCAATGTTACTAAAACACCATCGGATAAAACTACAAGTGAGAACCTATTAATAACGCGTAACTATATATAGAAGCAATATAAATTAGGACGACATAAACTAGTCTTGGTTGATGCTCAGGAAACGATTAGGACACCCGAGTTACTCTAGCTGATGATTATAGTTTCGCAATATAGAATGTTTGAATATCCTTAAGCAAGTAAGTGAGACATTTTGAGACTAACTAGGGCTCGAGGCCTGAACACTCGCGAGGGGTGGGTTAGTCGAGTGTTGTGTCTGATATAGAGATTTTGGACCTCACCCTAGGTAGACTAAAGGGGTATGTGTCTCAAGATGTGTAACCCTTCGACCACACCATGATGTCTACCCTAGAGAAACATGAAGTATACGAGTATGTTGGTAATGTGTAAAAACAATATCTCACATTGAGTATGAAATAGCATAGGCTTTGGTATTTATAATGTTCTTTATTCATTCATTTGTTGAGTGATAGGGAACAAAGGGCAATATCGCGTGCCACCGCTGTAGTCCATTCATCTCGGCTCGTAGACGTAGACATGGCTCGTGGCTCAAGCATAAAAAGATTTATGAAATAATTTTGTTCTAATATTTATAAGCTGCAATGGTATGTACGATTTAAATTTTTAGAGGGTAACAACTGATTAATTAGATATGTCACGCCCACAAAGACTCTAACTCGGAAACTTGCGGTTGTCACACCATTGGACCTCCAAAACGTACGGCCTTAGATGCTCAATGATGGTACTTGGTTGGTTCTGCACCTAAGTAAGCCTTACACCACGTCTTAAGAGCACACTATCTCGACAAAGGCTAGCACAAAGTCCTCAAGACTTTGAAAGGATGTTGAAACTTTAACCCAATAGGGCCGTTAAGGCCACCAAAGTAGAACACTCGTGCAGAAGTGTAAACACTACGGGGGCTACACTTAGCCACCTAGAAAGGCAACGAATATAAAGAGAATAAAGAACATCTCATAACAACTGAAATGAGACAATAGAACTCAGAACAAATACCTCAGAGCTTTTATTTACTCTTCTCTCAAAGTGAGAGTGGAAGAATGATTCTAAATGATACAAATGAGGAGGAGAGGCTCTCCATTTATAGTTGAGCTCCTTCACAATCAATGGTTAGGATCGATTTACATCAACGACTAAGATCATCCCTATTTAATAAAAAATATCCTATATAAGGAAACTCAATCCCATCCTACCTAATTACATCAATTAGTAGGAATCTTTTCTTCGATAAACGTTCATGTTGGATATGGTAAAAAACCTCCACAATCTCTATTGATTTGTTATCTCTTGCCATAATTACCTAGCTCCCATGACCATCTTCACTTTCCATGTTTGCACGACCAATGTGAATGGGCTCTCTAGCATTCTCCAAGTGATGGACCAAGTATGGTGGTCTTGGCAAGCCTGATTCCCCAAATCCAACCTTTTTGGAAGACTCGTGTACTAATGTCTCTGGTCTTATTGCATGGCCCGTGACAACTGTCGATTTGATTTCTGAAAATTAAAATTTGAACGTTTAATTTATGAAATTATGTCTGTGAAACGATGAATGAACCTATATAAATTTTTAGCTTTGTTCAGAATGTTTATTGTGTCAGTTACATAGTAAATGCAAGAGTTACAAATATAATAGCATGAGTTACAAACGAATGAACTTTAAGCTACAAACCTGGACTGATTTAAGGCCAAATTCATTGGTTTATGATAACAGTTTCAGATAGAGCTTTAATACGAAAATTAATCAGATATAAATATAATTTTCATTGGACCATTTTGTCCATGACGTCTAGGCTATAAATAGAGAGGTTTTCCAAGCTTCTCAACTTACTCCCAACTCTCACATATTCTCTCAAAAAAGAAGCATTTCGAGTTCTTATCTTTGATGTTATTAAATAAGTAGTACCACCGACAGTCTACTTCAATTTCAAGTGTACGTAACTTGGAGCGACCATGTTAACATCGGGAAACAATCTGCCTGAAGCAACGATTACACACATTGGGGTAGAATTTGTTTCTAAAGCAATGGTTTTTACCACGACACGATTTCGGTTACTCACTTGTTTGTTATATTTTTTATTTGTCCTGCAATGCTAACGTCTCATTTTGCAGTTTATATTTCCAACAGAGTGTACTCACTTTCCTTATTTTACTCGATAGCATGAGCATTTAATTAAAACTTTTAGTATGGTTTAGTTGTTAGTTGCTATTGGACTAATAAGCTTAGTGTTCGAAACTTGTTTCCATGCGCAGGTCTTTATGAGGAGTATTTGAGGAGACTATCGCGTAGCAGACGTCCTAGACAGTTCAAGCAACAAAGTACTTCTTAAGTCTTACTTCTTAGAGGGCATGCATTATTCATAGACATTCTTGTACTTAAGTCGTAACTTATTTTAAATACTCGATTGTATTATTTTGGAATACTTATTTTGGGTGCTCTCGATGTAAACTTTATTTAGTTATGTCGATTTATTTTTATCTTGAATAGCTTTTAAATTTATGATTTGCAAAGGTATTTAAAGAAAAATTTTGGGTTAGCCACTCTGGTGGTCCCATGTGGCATTATAATCGGTTGACTTTGTGTTAATTGTTTTTATTTTATGCATGATTCATTTTAATAATGTTTTTTTATATTTACTTATTTTTATATGTTATTTATTTAACTATGTTGTCTAACTAAGTGAAAAACTTAACGTGTGATCATTTCACACGTAGGCAAAAAAAAAATAGACAAATGAGTAAGGAGTCAAGCACGATATCTCATATTTTGGCAAACAAGTTCAGACATCCAGAATCAATATGACATCCTCTCAATGTTTTTGTTATTCTAGTAGGCATGTATATCTGATTCTGATATGTTGAACTGCTTTTGATTAAATAATAAATGATTAATATTTTATTTCCGTATAGATAAATTTTATATTATAGTTTTTAAATGAAATTAATTATTCTAATGTTGAGTTTAAACAAAATAAAATTTTAAAGAATTTTGAACAATATAAGTTTTATACAATTGATGTGACATCTTTAACTTGTATGCATGGACATATACGAGTTACGAGTGTTACACCAATCCTCTCGAGTAGTATTTTTCCTCAATAATTTATTTTCCATATATAAGGCGGTAACACATGTCACCATCTTATTAGAGGAAAAATATTAAATTAAATAAATTAAAATTAAAAAAAATATTTTTCAACAAGATAATAGCACATGTCATCATCTAATTGAAGATTAAATATATTTTAATTGAATAAAACTATGACCAAATGAATAGAACATATAAATATTGAAGATCAAATATGAAATTATAACAAAATTTTTAGCTGTCACGTTACCTTCTCTGTTAAAAATTAACAGACAATGACTTGATTGAAACATTTAAATAGTTGAGGGCTCTGACGAAACGTTAATGGTTGACATGAAATTTGGTAATAATTAAGTGATCACCGAATTTACCCAAAAGTTAATATGGAGGGCTAAATTTAAATTAAACCATTTTTTTAAACATAAAATTCAAAACAAATAAAATACTCTTTGAAGATTTATGTTAGATATTTGGCGGGTGCCCAACTAAATGCTTGACAGGTAATCCAATCAATTCAAAAATTAAATCTTTTTTGTTTGTCAATGCTTCCATGGAAGATCGATCACAATACTACTCTCTTAAAGAAAGAACACCCTCCAAAAAGAACATTTTTCACTGTAGAAACTACAACCCACAGGCAAAGAAACAGTAAAAAGAAAATAAAATAGCTAGTTTTATATAAAACACTTTTGAAGGAGAGAGAGAGATGATAAGGGGAGAAAAATGTGGAGAAGGGTTAGCAGAAAAGGAGGAAAATTTGCGTGAAAAGTTGAGTCGGAGGGTATTATTGGTAGGGAATAAGAAAACAAGAGGTCCCTGTACCCCACTCCTTGGAAACTTTACGACTCTGAGGCTCGTCTGCATCATTACAACACCCTTCTTCTTCCCCCTCCTCATGCAGCTGTTTTTGCAAGGAAGTTAGCGGCTTCATTGTGGGAGTTCCATTGATACCCTCGCCATTATAAAATGCATAGAGGCGGTGTTAACAACACTAATGGCCGGTACCACCAACGCCGCCACCACAACAAGAACAAAGCCATTGATTTTTCTCATTTCTTGGCTGACCCTTGCCCCATCTCTGACCCTGACCAGGTATTTCAGTTCCTTTTTTCTGTGTTCCATGTTTTACTTCTGTTTAGGTGTATGTGCATTTTCCTTTTCTTTAAGGCCCTCCCTCCTATTAGTTGGTGAGATTGGTGTTGATTGATTTGGTATTTTGGGTCTTGTATTTGGTAAATTAGGACACGATTTATTCTTTTAACTGGTTTGAGATGATGTTTACAGTTTATGTTAATAAATCTATAATTTCCGTCTTCATATGATCCGTATGCCAAAATTTTTACTATGTTTTTGTTGATCCATAGAGTGTTTCTCGTCTGTTAGGTTATATTATAAGTTTGTAATGTCCTTTTTTTCATGTGTGATTGGGGAAAAAATAATTAGTCAAGCTTTCTAAACAAGTTTAGAACCTAATGGTGCTAAACTGGCTTACAATGAATGAAGGATGAGAATCATTTAATAAATAATTATTAGTAAATATATAACCCAGCAAAGTAGTAGTTGATTTAATCTAGTCTATTGTGGCTTCAGGACAATGCCTTCAGTCATGAACAAAGGTTTAGAGGTTGTAAAAATACCTTCTAACTTTCTGTTCTATTTCTTTTATCAGCCAGAGAGTTCTAGCAGTATGAGGAGGCATATTGCTCAAACACTGATGAAACACCATCGATCGATTGAAAACAATAATCATGCCCTACAGCCTGTATCGCCTGCAAGCTATGGCAGTTCAATGGAGGTGAATTTTCTTTTCTTCCTACTGAAAATGGTACTATCTGTAAAATATTTACATAATAGTTGCATGGAACAACCAAACCAATACAACCTGCAGCGATCAGCAGCAATATATGTACTATATAAGAAACATAAATCACAAAGAACCCAAGCCGAACGAATATAATTCTTTCTTAAATTGATACTTCAACTGAAGCTACTCGACATAAGCTAAGGGAAGAATGATTTTTAGGAGTCCTGCAAATGGGGACAGGCTCGAGCCTTGTGACCAAGTTGATTCGTCTTGGTTGTAGTCTGACTAATTTCCCCTAGTCTCTAACTAAAATTTAATTCTTTATGTTATTTAGATTCTAAGTTGATAACTAGCATAGCTGGGTTTTCATGGCGTTTTAAGTACATTTTTTTTAGCATATCTCATGTTTTATTCTAATCATAGAAATACATAGCATGCTTGTCCTAGGAAAGCATTTGAGAATTGAGTTAATAGGGTGTTATTTTAGTTAATAGGAATGCATTTCGATTAGGATTTCTTAAACGTTGATATTAACAGAAACAACAGTGCGGAAATTGAATGCAGAGAACGTCCTTTCTCATATAAGTTCCTCCTTAGGAATCACTTGTATTGTTTGCTTATTTGTAGGTCTTTCCCTCTTGTTTTTCACATTCCGGCCCATCTAGAGTCCCAACATGCATTTCCTCCCTTTGCAGGTGGCACCTTATAATCCTGCAGTCACGCCTAGCAGTTCCATTAGTTTTAGGGGAAGAATCGGTGAGTCGCATTATAATCTTAAAACATCTACAGAACTGCTGAAAGTACTAAACCATATTTGGAGTCTGGAAGAACAACATGCATCCAATGTATCATTGATAAAAGCATTGAAGAAAGAATTAGATCAGGCCCGTGTTAGGATCAAGGACTTGCTAAGAGATCAGCAAGCATGTCGTCGTGAAATTGATGGTTTGACGAAGCAGATTGCTGAAGACAAATTGGTTTGGAAGAGTAAAGAACAGGACCGGGTTCATGCTGCTGTACAGTCATCAAGGGATGAACTAGAAGACGAGAGAAAGTTAAGAAAACGATCCGAGAATCTACACAGGAAGCTAGCTCATGAAGTCTCTCAGACAAAAGTTTCTCTTTCTAATGCCTTGAAAGACCTTGACAGGGAAAGGAAATCAAGGAAGCTTTTGGAAGATCTTTGCGATGAGTTTGCTAAGGGAATCAAAAGCTACGAACAGGAGGTGCATACATTAAGACAGAAATCCAATGAAGATTGGACAAGAGTGGCTGACCACGATCGTTTGATTCTTCATATATCTGAATCATGGCTTGACGAGCGGGCACAGATTAAGCTAGAAGAAGCTCAGTCTGGTTTCCACAAACAGAATTCGATAGTAGACAGATTAGGTTTTGAAATAGAGACCTTCCTTCAAGCTAAACATATTGGTAGTTCGGTTTCGAAGCGTACTGATTATTTGTCACGAAAGGATAGGAGGAAGTCACTTGAATCTATCCCTTTAAATGAGGCTGTAAGTGCAGGTAAAGATGTTTGTGACGAGGAAGATTCTGATAGCAGTGATTCAAATTGTTTTGAGCTGAACAAACCAAGCAGTGTTGACATGAATTCACATGAAGATGAAGCTCTAAACCATGACGGCGATGTACTAACGAAATCAAATCATGCTGAGAAAAAACTTTCATCTCATGAGAAGAATAAAAGCCGGCATCCATCCGGCTTACAAGTTAAATCTGAAGAAAAGATGGCCAGAGCTACAAGTAATGAAAATAAAAAGTTCCAGTTGGCAGATTTAGAACAGGAACATATTGTAGGGAACACCAATGAAGCAACAATTTCGGAAAAACAAGCTACTCAATATGGCAACAAGGGAAGAAAGAATAAGCTTGATGAGATACATGGACTAAGCTCAAATTATGTACTGGACAACTTGATAAGAAATCATACCGCATTGTCGGAAGGCAGGAATATGAACGAGGAAAACGACTGTGGTGAGGCTTCTTGTTGTTACGCTCCTTGGAGGAACCAGCCTAGCCCAGTGCGGCAATGGATGACGAAAATTACACCCCCTGATGTGGACGTATCGGAGTCTTCTTTGAAGCTACCACCAACAGAGAAGGATAACACTTTGAAGGCCAAGCTTCTTGAAGAAAGGTCCAAAGGGCAACGTTCTCGTTTAAAAATATTCAAGGGCAAGCCATAGCTCAGAGAGGTGTTTTTACTTTGAACAATAAACTGAAGAACTCGCTTAACTCACCGGAATAGCTGCATCTGCTTTTCTTTTCAGGCCAACATTGTGGTTTATATGAATACTCCATGTTGCAATCTGTAATTCTGGAAAATTTTGTTGTCTGTATATTTGAGTAATTAATATCACAGTATAGTTATGAATCAGATGAAGTTACAATTTTGATTTAATTCACTATAACCCAATGAATTATTTAGATTATTTTCGAAATTATTTTTCATGTTTAGTTCAGGTCAAAATTGTGGCATTCTAATCAAATCGGACAATATTATCTTTAAATTATAAATTTTTTATTTAAAAAAAATAATATTATGTTCAATAATTATTTTGAAATAATTTATATTTTTAATTAATTAATAAAAAATTATAATCTTATATCATTATTAAATAATAAAATACATATCCAGGAAAAATGTTATTTTCCATTTTGGTATGTGGGGTCTGGGCCTGGCCTGGCCTCAGGGAAACTCGAAAAGGTAACAAGATGGCATCGATGTTTTGAGCTTAGCAGCTGCGAATTGCGGAATTGAACCGAGAGGAAGGAGGGCGATGGCGGCGGCGGCGGCGGCGTCGTTTAGGTGGTTGCTCCAACTCCACAAGGACGTTCCCAAGGCGGCGAAGTTCTACTCACAAGGGCTCGATTTCTCCGTCAACATCTGCACGTTTCGGTGGGCCGAGCTTCAGTCTGGTCCTCTCAAGCTTGCTCTAATGCAATCCCCCTGGTATTACTCTAACATTATTGCTTTTACCGACATGGAAATTTCATCAAGTTTCTTTGATGATTTTGATCTTGGTTAGAGATGCACAAAATGAGTAAGATTGTGTGTAGTCCCAAATTTACAGAGTTTTTATAATTATACAATTGTCCATGAAAAATACAGAAAGAGAGTAAAAGCTGTGTTGAAAATAGATAATTCTGACCCAGTTTTGTTCGACAGTGATAATGTGATCCAGAATGGTTACTCTTCAGTTTTATCATTCACAGTGAGTGACATTAACAGTACAGTATCAAAACTAATGGCATTAGGAGCTGAACTAGATGGTCCCATCAAATATGAAATCCATGGCAAGGTATTAACTCCATTATTTCTTCATCCCTGATAATCTTATGCTTAGCTCGATAGTGAACAGAAGCTGTCAGTCTGAATTTCATCATTATTTTCAGGTTGCCGCCATGCGTTGCATTGATGGTCACATGGTTGGCCTCTATGAACCAGCATAAAATGTTCTAGAGATGCCCCTTCACCAGAGTCGACCAATTTGTCGTTTGAAAACATCGAGAAGACATGAGAAAACTTTCCCTTCTTTGGATTTCCTTCAATTATTGTAAGTGTTTTTTCATCCAAATAAATTACAGCCGTGCAGAGTGTAGAAAGAGTTGGACCTGCAGTAATACCAATAAGAGTAAGTTGGTTTACAAATTACCATTGAATAGAAGCTGCTCTACATTCCCATCCTTAAATTTTTACCTGTCATGTAGATGGGGTACTTTGTATATTCTGTATCGCCTAGTAGAGACAGGAAATCGGTTTTTGATTCTTGTGGTAGAACAGCTGCTCTTTTTTGTCTGCTTATTGAGTTCTCGTCATGTACCTTTATTGCAAAACATTTATTTCAGTTCAATGCATCTGGATTTATCATGTAGAAAGCCTTTTCACTGCTATTCCTTGTAAGTCGATCACACAATCAGTGGTCATTTATAAATCTAGCTGTAAGAGAATATCAGCTCTAATGTGCTGAATGTGACACTTGGCTTGACAATTAAGGTGGTGGTGACGTGCTCTTGCCCTGAAATGGTGATACTAGGAAATTCTGGTAGCTAGGGACTAAGTCTAAAGTAGGAGAACTAAGGGTGAGGGAATAACTCTCGAACAAAGCAATTGAATCGAAAAAAAGGGAAATTACAAAAATAGAGAGGAAGAGAGAATGAACGGGTGTGTAATTTCTTGAGAAATCATCAGACGATGAGTACGGATATGGTCTAAACAGCTTATTTATACACTGAACGAAAGAGAACTGCAAATAGCTAACCTTCCCACCAACTTTTAATTGCTAATAACAGACTTTCCTAACAACCTGAAACTGAAAATTGACATCAACAGCCACCTAAGTTGATCACATGGATTCCTTCTCTTATATGTTCTATTGTTTACCTGCTGAACCTGAAGATGGAGATACACGTTTGCATGGAAAAATGGTGGTGTTCCAACCTTATGAACTGAAACTGGCGATCTTGATGCAGTTTCTACATTCAAGATCATGCACCTCTGTATATCGATTAAATTGTAACCGTGTCCCACGGAAAATTCTGCTGTGCGTATTCTCTGAAGGCAATCCTTCAATCACTACCTTAATGAGCAGGCTAATATCTAATTTCATCAGCTATAAGAAACGAACATTAGAGGATCTTACAGTTAATGCATCTGTGATGCTAGTTGCTTCGAGAAGGTCCCTAGAGACGAAGTTCCTTCCAATGCCAGCTTGTGCAATCTCAGCTTCAGCTGGGGGTACTGAATTCAATGTGAATGCCTAAGGTATGTATGAAGGAAATATTATATTTCATTGAATTGACAATCATGTTTTATCTTTTCTTTTCTATAAACAATCATATTCATGAAAGAAATTTTACCAGCCCTTGACTATTAAATCCAAAAGCACAACTTGGAAGCTCTCCTGCATATGTGTAAGCTACGAAGGATAATCCGCTTGACAGTTTTCCTTTGATCAAGTAGCTGTGAATCCAGCAGAGAAATAGTACATGTTATGAATATTGATTTTTATACATATTGCACTGTCCTAGAATCTAAACAGGATACAGGAAGCTAAAGCGTACGTGTGACCAACTAGAGCAACGTTATCATCCTCGTTGTTATCATCCTCGTTATTAGCTGTTGTGGCCATTGAATCACTAACGATAAGAATATCAGAGTAGTCATCTGCAGTATCAGCATTTAAATTCATTGCTGTTTTTGAAATGAATGGGAGTATCTCCTTTCTCAAGTTGATAAGTATTATCCACAGTATCGGCACGCCACTTCCTTCTGCAGTCCCTAAAAGTTCATCCCAATATCTTGGGAACTTGTTCTGGTTAGTTTCCGAGAGTGCTTTGATCAGAGGTGCTTGTGGGGTTCGAGCAAAAAGGAAGGAGCTGGTTTTGAAGAATGAGATCTCCGGCCAACCTACTTATTTGATCACGGAACCTTTGACCTATGAGAGAACCCAGATGGTAGCCACCTTCACAAGGCCCAACCTCGAACATCTCCAGCGGTTTCCCTTCCATGCTCAAGTTCCCAGACCTTGTGGCTGAAGTCGTGTTTACACTAGAGAGGTATACCTTATCACCTTATTTAATGTTAAGTGATTCAAAAAAATAAAATTAAATGTAACTATTTAATGAAAACATTAAAAATTTAACATTCTACATTTTTTATATAATTAACAATATCTAATTAATTAACTGAATAATTTAAATCAAATAATACATAAAGACCCCAATTTCTCTTGGCAAGAAATGAATATAGCCCTCAACGTATCGAATTGACACCTTTTTTTTTTTGCATAATGACCTATTATATATGTCAATAACTTAACCATGTATACAAAACTTGCATTTAAATATCCGCTATCGCCTCCCAAATGGACAAATTCCAAATTTAAAAAGAGGCCAACATTCACGTGTTTGATCCTTAAATTGTTCGGACTCTAAACACCATGCTTACCTTTGCATGAATTTCAATCCAGGGTCAAACAAATAAAGTCCTCAACGGCAGTGTATCCGTCTTACTATGCTGGATAAAAACTTTTACCGGCAAGTGGAGTGTTCAGCACTCGATTCGAACCGCTCCACTCTCCGATGAAATGAACTTGGGTTTCCTAATCACTTGCTCCAAGCATTGGATGACATCTCCAATCTGCAAATCATTACAATCGCAGAGCACAAGCCCACACTCGTTCCCTTTTTCCACTTTCTCAACATCGTGCTTCTCCTGCTTCAACGACTTACAAGGTCCTTCGAACACAAGTTCCCCACTTCTCAACAGCTTCATGGTTGCTGATTTGGAGACATAACCGTCAATCACCCGGCAACCGGCAATCTTTACACCACCCCTTTCCTTGCTCTTTCCCAAAATCTCGAAGAGATTCAGCACCTCGGCCTCCCCAGCTACCTGAGTTTCGAAAGTGCCAGGGGCCTTCTCCACTATCATATTGCCAATCTCCTCCAAAAGGTGATATATGACACGGTGCACCAGTATCTACAAGCAATACAAATAATTTAGTTCAACAAAGTTCCATTCTAATGCTTGTCCAACACGGTTATGTCAATTCTTCGTATCCCCGAAAATACTTGAAATTGGGGGGAGGGGGGATTTTTTTTCTGCTTTCTGCAACATAAAGATCGAGATTAGATGGAATGAGAAGTTGGTACCTTTATGCTGGCTTGAGTGGCTGACATACTAATAGAACTCGCTGGCTTTTTCACATTGAATCCAACAATGCATGCACCACATGCCAGCGCCAGGTCCACATCTGATTGAGAAATAGACCCCACCCCAACATGGACTACGTTCACGTAAACCTGGAAGTGAAATTAGAGAATGTATTGATAAGAAAACACATTGCACAAGAGAACCAACAGGTTTAGTTTCAATAGCCAATAACAATGACCAACATCCTTCCTCTCCGTTTTTAAAATTTTAATTTTCAAACCAGGAACTTTTTCCAGCATAATGAGGAATGCCGAACAAATATCAGCAACCAAGGCAGTGGGGTTATGATAAAGAAAACAAAGAGAGGCAAAAGTACTAGTCAGATAATATAGCAAGACTTTTACATACCTGAGGACTATTTAAAGTTCTCAATGCATCTGTGACGGCCTGGACAGTGCCTTGTACATCTGCTTTTACAATTATTGCCATTTCAACCCTTTGAGGCACATCCTCTGATTGTTCCAATTCCTCAGCTCTTCCTTCGCTCATCTTCAACAACCTGTCTTTCTCAGATTTATTTTTCCTCCCTACACTAAGCATTTTAGCTCGCTCCTCAGATTGCACAACGATGATGTCATCACCAGCCATTGGAAGCCCCTTCAAACCCTCAATCTCAACTGGCATTGCAGGTGTTGCCTGTTCTGCCAAATTCCCAGCCACATCTCTAATGGCTCTTATTCTGCCCCACTCTGAGCCCACAACCACATGCTGCCCACAAACCAAAGTCCCTGCTTTTACTATTGCAGTGGCTAACGGGCCCCGTCCTTTGTCAAGCCTGGCCTCAACAACATAAGCTTGGGCAGGTCCATCAAAGCGTGCTTTTAGGTTCATCACCTCAGCCTGCAGTAGCAAAGCCTCCTCCAAGTTATCCAATCCAGTTTTCTTTAATGCTGAAACTTCAACCACCTGAATATCTCCACCCATATCCTCCAATAACAAGCCCTCAGAAGCAAGCTGTAGTTTTACTCTCTCAGCATTAGCAGCTGGTTTATCACATTTGTTAACTGCAACCACGATTGGGACATTAGCTACCTTTGCATGGGATATAGCTTCAAGAGTCTGGGGCATCACCCCGTCATCCGCAGCAACAACTAAGACAACTATATCTGTGACTGCTGCACCTCTTGCTCGCATTGCACTAAATGCAGCATGACCAGGGGTGTCAAGGAATGTAATCGATGCCCCTGACTGCATGACAACAACAAAAGCACCGAGATGTTGTGTTATGCCTCCAGCTTCACTGGCTGCCACTGATGTTTGGCGTAAAGCATCTAAAAGAGAAGTTTTACCATGGTCAACATGACCCATGACAGTCACAACGGGCGGCCGTGGGAGAATTTCTTTACCTTCACTGGCATGTATCCTCCTGACACTGGCTCCAACTTCCTGCAACACCATTAGAAATCATAATATGTCCCAAAATAACCATCAACATGACAAGTATAATGGGTCTAATACAAAAGGAAAGATTAGACAGAGGAGAGAAACTCAATGACTAAAAGCAAATACCACCTTAATATTGTATCATAAATGGTTCAATATATATCTATTAAGAGAAATGTTGTAGCAAGAAAAAATCCATAAAAGTATAAAGAGATATCATCATCAGATTGTTCCAAGGATAATTCTAGGATATGCATTAAAACTCCAGTTAATGGTCTACACGCACATGCATACAAGTTTTGTATTTTAAATTGCAAATAAGATACTTCACAGATATGTTTGAGTAAAGAATGGGAAATACCATTGCAATGAGCTCTGCAATATCAATGCTTAGAGGCTGAAATTCAGACACAGTATTTTCCCCAAGGTTTATGAGAATATCCTGAAGAGCACCTATGCCCTCACCAGTTCGCTTTGCAAGCTCAACAAGGGTCATGCCGTCAAATATCTCAACAGTTTTCTCTTGCAATGATTTGTTTGTTCTCTTCAGTTTAGGAACATATGGAGCTTCAACAGGTGGCTTCCTTTCCCTCTTCACATACTTCCCTTTGGGTTTTTTGTCCTTAAAGTTTAATCCCAGCTCCTGGTCAAAGTTCTTCTTTTTAGCCAGTAATTCTGGACTTGCATGAAAATACCTAAGCATGACCAGAATTCCACATTTAATAGCAATTCACAAATACTGAATTATGCTTAAATCAGTTATTCTGGGA